ACACACACACACACACACACACACACACACACACACACACAAAACACATGTTAAAAAATTAAAAGGGACTCTATTATGGTGATGTTTATCAAATTCTCAAAAATAAAAACCCTGGGGCTGGAGTGATGGCGCAACAGTTTTTGCACGTTCAGTTCCTAGCACCCACGTCAAACAGCTCACAACTGCAACTGTAGCTCCTGGGGATCAGATATCTTCTTCTGGCCTCCCCAGGTACACTCCCCCTCTGCAGGTACACACCCACACCCACAGACACACATATACATAAATAAAAACCAAGAAAATACTGTTTAGTGATAGGCTGAAATCATTTAAAAACCCTGAAATGATATATGTAGCAATTTAAGACAGAGTTTACCCCGGGCTGCTATGTGGCTTCAGGACACAGTACTTATGGGATGTCCTTAGGGCAACAGGGATACAGGTTTGTGTGTCCCTAACATTCATGACAAGGGGCTAGAGAGAGGGCTTGGTGATTAAGAAGACTTGCTATTCTTGCAGGGTAACCGAGTTCAGCTCCTAGCACCCATGTCAGGTGGCTCACAAGTGCCTGTAGGTCCACCTCCAGGGGATCCAACACCCTCTTCTGGCCTCCATGGGCACCGCCCCCCAATGCACACATACGCTAATACACACATGCACAATCTTTTTATTAAAAAAAAAGAAAACAAAACAGAACTGAGACCCTGTGGGGCAGCCTAAGAGGCCCTGATCATTCTTTCTGTAGGGCAGTCAGCTTCCTTGTCAGAGCAGGAGCCTGTCCGCACGGCCTCCAGCGCTTTTCTGCCTTCACCAGCTGCTCCCTCTACTCACAGTGCCCCACTTCCACTTGGTCCTTTTACCTTCCTTCTTTCTCACACATGATGGCATGGCTATGGAGCTTTGAGAAGGGTGCTGTGTGGTTCAATGAGGAGGGTGTCCCCCACTGGGGTGGTGAGGTGGCTTGTTGCCAAGTCTGGTGGGCCAGCCTGTGATTTGCTAATGAGTCCAATGGCTTTTTGGCTTCCCCAGGAAGGACCACACAATCTGCTGAGCTCTAGCATAAACTGGTGGTTGGCTTTGTTAAACAGAGGAACTTGGGAATGTGAACAGGAGCAGCTCTGCCCTTGGGGACTCCCCTGAAAATTGTGTTCTCAGTGGCAAAGCACTTGTGCTCCTATGAGCAGTATTAAATTGTGGACCTGGCATACAAGGTATCCACAGTACATTTACTTACAGAGCAGGTCTCTGTGGACACCTACTGTGTATCCTGAAGTGCGACAGGCTCAGGGCTCATAAAAGTCAGTAGAATGGGATATGCAGCAGTCACCCAAGAGCGATGGGAAGACTCTGATCACACCTTTCTGAGTGAGGCTTCCCTGTACCTGTAGCTGTGTATACCCTGCCCTGCCCGGGTCCTAGATGGGCACTGGCAGCAATGATGGGACAGCACCTCTGCAGCTGAGGGCATGAATGTCTGGCTACAGGATGTCCCCAGGCTGTGTTCCACTCCTTGCCTCCTTAGCTCTGGGTGTTGGTCCTTATTTCAGGCCAGGTAATTCCAAAACAGCTCATACTGCCCAGAGCCACAGTGGGCAAGGAGTCTGTAAGACTGCTCCCCACTCTGCCCCTGTAGCCCTGCCCATGCCATGCTGGAAGGCATGCTCACTGCCCACATCTGCTAGGGAGGGTCAAGGGCACTGCTGGACTCTAAACTGTGTGCCTAGGTTTCATCCAGGATCTGGAGGGGTGCTGGTAGTGGGATCAGATCCACTGTGGGAAGGATACTCCAACATCTACACTAATACTCAATGATGGGGGAAGTAGCAGCACCTGGCCTTCTTGTCAGCAGCCACAGGACTCCTGTCCATGGAAGAGATTTTCCAGGCTCAGGAGGGGTATGGGGCTTAGAACTAGCACTTCCAAGTATGACAGCCTGGGCAGGTGGAACCACAGGTGAGGTGCCAGCCCCAGTGGGAGGGGTCAGTCTGGAGGGCCATGGGTAGCACTCTCAAATGGGGCAGGGCAGAAAGGTTTCTCAGAGGACCATGTGCATATAGTTTTGACTCCAGAAAGGGCTATGGTGAAGGCCAAGGCCAGACTACAGATTTCCTAGTTTATAAAAAACCCAGGGTGGCAACTTAGAGGTGGCTTGGTGGGTAAAGTACTGGCTGTACAAGCATGAGGAGCCAAGTTTGAATCACCAGCACCCATGTGGAAGTATGCTTCTGTAACCCCAGGGCTGGGGT